CCATGAGCAAGACCTTGGCAACAAGGGCAAGGAAATTAAACAAATTAAACTTACTAAATGTAATTTAATTTGTATAGAAATGTGTGAATGTAGACAAATAAATCATTAAGACAACAAAACTTCCCTAATAAAAACTTGGAGGTCAGTATCTTGTTACCTGTCCGGCGGAGGAGTCGGCGTCCTGCGGGCAGCGGCTGGGGAAGTAGGCGGTCTGATACGCTCTGACAGAGGAGTTGCTGATGTAGTCGCGGTAGGCGGGCAGCGGGTGGCGCTGCTCTGGCTGCAGGATCTCATTGGCTGTCAGAAGGGATACGAACAGTCAGAGGATCTGAGGGTGTTTCAGCTCTGAGCTACGACAAACATCACAAAGGCTGCCAGCTTTCCTTTCTTTGGGCTACTTTTTTATTGTTTAGACGGGTAAAACATGTTTTTGGAGGCTTGTGAGACTTTAAGTTACATCTTACTTCTTCACCTCATTACTGACGATTACTCGCTCTTTGTTAGTGAGTCTTAAGGGTTAAAAGGTAAAAACAACAAAAAGGACTTAACAACAAAAAGGAACATTGTTGTTCAGTCTCAGAAGGTACAGGGAGCCTCTCAATGGGCCATGAATGTAATGATGTACAGTAAATAACCTGTGTGTGTGTGTGTGTGTGTGTGTGTGTGTTCGTACCATCAGACTCAGCCACGACGACGGTGAAGTATCTGATGGCTCCGTTGGCGTCGCTGAACCAGGAGCAGTTGAAGCGGAACAGGATGGATGACGACGTGACCTTCGACGACTTCTCACTGACACGTACGCTGGGGGGCGGGACCGGAGGGCCTGAAAGGAAACACACATACGACTTAAATAAAACAGCATAAAGTTCATTTTATTTGTTGTTTTTTATATATGTATTTAGTCCTAAACTTTATTTGAATTGATTATCATAACTTTATATATTTATTATTTTAAAATTATGAGAGAAAATCAGGAGACAGTTGGTCAAATCAACAAAAACATGACAGTAAATTAATTTTGACATGTCAAGATTTATAAAGAAATCTCATTATGACTTTATTTTAAACGATGAGATAATTGTTCATTCCTTTCTCATAATTTGTACATGTGAATTTTTACATACAGTTTTATAATTATGACACAATTGTGGCTTCATTAATTATTAATAATGACAATAAATAACATGAAAGTCTCCACTCTCTCCCTGTTTATTCCTCTTTTCCTTCCTTTGCTCTCTCGGCTGTTTTTAGGTGAACTGCCGCTAATAAGAAAAAAGAAACTTTCTTGAGGATTTTTTGTTCTGTCTTTTTCTGTTTCTGTCTCCCAGTCCAGTTGTGTCAGGATGATTTATAATGCAACACCGGCAGAGAGAGAGCGAGCGAGAGCGCTGAGGACAGACGGACGTGAGCTCAATGGAACAAAGAAAGAAAAAAGTTGTAAAGAAGTTTTCTGAGTTCTGGGTCACAGTGACTCTTTGAAATAAGCATCCGGGGACACGTCAAGATCAGAGACACAGAAAGAGTGTGTGTTAGTTCAGACTGCTGTTCACCTTCATACACACTACAGAAAGTTCCTCTCTGTTTGTTTGTTCCTCTTTATAATGTTAACACACTGTAAGTCAGAAAGCTTTCTGTTCTGATATTACTGAGGTTTATACAGTAGTTAATGAATGTTTATGGCAGTTTCTAGTTGTTAACACTTTGTTTCAGAGTGCTGATGATAAAGCAGTTCAGTGCAGCACGGTGCTAATATATGTATATATGTAATATATGTCAGCACAGATTTGGATCGATAGTCTTTGACCGTGCTACAAGGATTTCCTGTAAGTAACATAAACATTTCATTAACACAGCTGTGAAAAAGTTTGCACATTTAAGTTTATTTTTTATTAGTTTTTTTAAATATGGGAGATATTTGTCAGTGGCCAGATTTAAGAGAATTTGATCAAATTGACAAAGACAAAAACACATTTCCTGTTTATTTTATTTTAGTTTGTAAGTCTAGTAAAGTAGTAAAGTCTAGTTTTTTTTTATCTCAGTTCACTAAAATGTTTTTTTCACACCAAGTCTTAATTTTTACTTTAGTTTTAGTGAATTATTATAACCTCGGTCTGTAGATCCACCTAGAGTTTTGAAATAAAACAAAAACAACATTTGATCTGGATTGTGGGAAGGATTGGATTACTAAATCCGTATCCCAGTTTTGTCGGATCACATCTGCTGTTTTAAAAAAACAAAAAAAACAATCTGAGAGTGAATCCCTGTAGTTTGTTTCTCCACGCTGAACCAGATACCAAACCTGTCTCCATTAGTCACACTGACACAGAAACATGGGAAATACAGAAGTTACCCATTAAGAAGAAACTTAATGATGAATTTATGAATTCTCTGTGTGTCT